TTATAGGAGAGACAGGGAAAAATTCTTTCCTTTAAAATAAATATTGATAATCTTATTGGAAAAAAAATACAGATATTTTAGGAACATTTGACAAATGGTCAATAAAAGCTGATTCACAGTTGAATTCTGTGATGCACTGAAGGAAATGACATATTTTTAAGTCCCTCCAATGTTCTAGGTTCTCATCCAAGCTCTGCCTCACACCAGCCATGTTGGTGGCCGGGTTTTAGGATCGAATTTAGGGCCAGGGCTCTGAATTCATTGGGGTTTTAATGTCAGATCTGCGCCACCTGAGGCAGGCTCCTCTCAATCTGTGCTAATGGGGTGATGGGCTGCACTGTTTCCCCATAACTCGCATGTTGCAGGGGAAGTCCTAGCTCCCAGTGTGAGGGGACTTGGAGGAGAGAGGGCCTCAACAAAGGTAATGAGGGGTAAGTGAGGTCCTGAGTGTATGGACCTGATCCCGTAGGACTGGTGTTTCCTAATAAGAGGGAGTGACGCCTGGAATGCACACCCACAGAGAGGAGGCCACGTGAGGACACAGTGAGAAGTCTCCCGTCTGCAAGTCAAGCAGAGGCTCCAGTAGAAACCAAACGGCCAACCCCTTGACCTTGGATTTCTAGCCCCCAGAACTGTGAGGAAAGTACATTTCTATCGGGTAACTCACCCAGTCCGGGTATTTTGTTATGTCAGTCCTCGCAGACTCGTAAGATCGGTATACTGTAGCTCATGGGAGCAGGGTTAGGATCGCATGTGGCTAAATAAAATGCTTGTCTCCTAGCATGCACTCAGTAAGTGAAAGCCATTATTTGTGGCTCAAGAGAAGAAAAAAAAAAGAAAAAAAAAGGCAACATTAATTAGTATTTAAAATATATATGCCAAGCATTTTGCATAAGTACCTAATTCAGTCTGCATAAGAGTACAGGCCACCCCCATTTTGCAGATGCCCCAAAAGGTTATATAATTTGTCTTAAAATTACAGAGAAAGTGGCAGGATCAAACCTAGCATGAACATCTGTATGCCTTCCACTCTGCCATGCCATCTCTGAGAGGAGCTTCCTAGATGCCAAAGGCTGTTAATGAAAGAGAGCCATGCTCGGCGATTTCTGCAGCGGAGACACATTCAGGGGTTGGCTTCTCTTGCAGGAATGCACTTCTGCCCACACACGGAGGTTCGGTCCCACATCAGGCTGGGCCACACAGATGCCTGCACGGGAAGTCACATAGCTTCTTAAAGAAGAACGTTTTAATCTGTTCAAGCACTTGAGAACCAAGTATTCATTTGACAGACACTCCAGCGCTGTGGGCCAAGGGCATGAAGCCAGTCTGGCCTAAGGCATGGGGAGGGCATGTGTTAACAATCAGTAAGGCCCTTCCTCGCAGTGCCTGATGTCTGAGCACTGCCTACAGACAGACATGTAGACAGATGCCTGGACCAGGATGAGGTTAACTGCACAATGTAGCCCTGGTGTGCCACATGAATGACTTCCCACACTTGAGATCATTGTGGATTGTGCTTAACTGAAGAGAATATCAAGTGAAACAAACATTTCTCATATGGTTACTACTAAATCATTCTTTCCAGGAATGATTAGCCAGTGTCATCGACTATTTTAGGATCACTCCCTATTCATGAGGAAAGTTAATAAAGGTGTTTTCCCCCTTTTACCATGACATGTTACATGAACTTTTTTTGTTATTAAGACTATTTTTTAAAAATATGTTCTTATTGATTTTTTTTTAGAGAGAGGGATGGAGAGGGATAAAGAGATAAAAACATCGATTGGCTGCCTTCTGCACACCCCCTTCGAGCCCAACCTGGGCATATGTCCTGGAACTGAACTAGCAACCTCTTAGTTCATTGGATGATACTCAATTACTGAGCCATACCAGCCAGGATAAGACTGTTTTTTAGAGCAGTTTTAGGTTTGCAACAAAATTGAGAGAGGTAGATTTCCCATATATTCTTGGCCCCGCACAAGCGTAGCTTCCCCCATTATCAACACCTTCCACGAGAATGGTATATATTTTTTTTCACCAGGGATGAAACCCACATTGACACATCATAATCACCCCGAGTCCATAATTTATCTTAGAGTTCATTCTTGCTGTTGTACATTTTGTGGGTTTAGACAAATATGTAATGACATATCTCCATCATTATAATAACATACAAATTATCTTCATAAAAATTCTGTGTGCTCTGCCTATTCATCTCTTAGCACCACCATCCCTGGCAAACACTAATCTTTTGACTCGATAGTTTTGTCTTAGTTACATTTAAATATTTAAAAAAAAGAGAGTAGAAAACAGCACTTTTTAAAAACAGAATTCATATATATATATAATATAGATATATATAAACCTTTATTGATTTCAGAGACAGTAATACCAATGATGAGAGAAAATCATTGATTGGCTGCCTCCTGCACATCCTCCACTGTGGATCAAGCCTGCAACCCAGGAATGTGCCCTTGACCGGAATCAAGCTTGGACCCTTCAGTCCACAGGCTGACACTCTGTCCATTGAGCCAAACCAGCCAAGGCAGAAAACAGCCCTTTTAATGATAATTAAAACTGAATTTAAGATTTATGGAAAGGCTATTTCCAAGATTAGCCACCAGTCACTCATAGCAACATGGGTTTGAACTGTGTGGGCATGCAGATTTTTTTTTAATAATCACTTTCAGTGTATTTTCTCATGATTTTCTTGATATTTTTTCTTTAGCTTTATTGCAAGAGTGTAGTATGTAATACATATAATGCACAAAATATGTGTTCATTGACTTGTTATTGGTAAAGCTACTGGTCAACCCCCACCCACCACATTGATCAAGGGTCAACTAATATTCTCTCTGATTTTGTGTGTGTTTGAGATTTTCCATAATAAAAGTTTTTTAAAATAAGGGTGACACTAAAAACATTATTTCTACCTTGATTCTAATGTAATAGAATCAGATTTTGAAAAAGATTCTAAGATAAGAATAAAATTTCTCATGCATCTCAACTGATGAAATCAAACATCTTAGGTATTTCTTATCTTAGTAAGATAATCAGTCATATAGTAATGCACCCAGAATACATTGGCTTCTTGTGCCAGTGTGGCAGTTGCTGTCCGTTCCACGTACTGTGACCTCTCAGCACCTACCCTTCAAGGGCATCCCTCCTGGTTTACAGTGTCTGACACCTGTGATTGTGTGTGACCTTTTTCTCTGGTCTTCGGCGACAGCCTGCTTACCTGGGTTGATGATAGTGACATTAAACAGAAAAAGGGATGTGATAAACTTGGTTCAGGGTTGGAGGAAAGAATGACTTGTAGTTTAAGATACCTGTAGACCATGGAGGGGATGATGTGTGTTAGGTGTTGAACACAAGGTCCTATGCATGGTTTATAGAAGTCACACTCTGTTGGCCTGCTCTGTCACTGTTTCCCCATCACAAACCATGCTTCAGCCACATCTGACTAGTATCTCTTGACTCTCAAATTGCAGTGGCTGTTCCCTCTAACTGGAATACCTTTTTGGACACCCTCTCCCTATCCCCTGCCACCACCACCATTATCCAGGAAAGTGCTGTTTGGACACCTGTGACAGAGCACTCACTATCATCAAATAGCAGGGCCTCCGTGGCCCAGAAAGGGTCTCTGGAGCCAGCCTGTCTGGATGCAGACCTTGGCTCCACCCTTCCTGCTGTTAACTCAGTTTCCTAACACAGTGAGGATAACCTTAGGACATCTCGGAGGGCTATTGAGACAATTCAATGAATTACACATTTAAAGCACTTAAAACAGAGCATAGCACATCAAGTGTGCTATAAATCTTTGCTGTTACTATTAGTTGCTATTTTATAAGACAGCCCATATCATTTTCTATTTAAAAACATGTTTTTTTTTTAAAGAATTGTTGTAGTAACAGTCTTATCAAATAGTGCCGATTTAAAACAGTGACTGTCCTGATCTTTTCTAAATGTTATCACAAACTGTTGGAGTAATTTTTGCCAGCCTTTTTTGTCTTCTCTTTCGTCTTTAAGTCACTTTTTTTGTGGATTGCCGTACTCTTTAGACTGCCTGCCTTTTATGCCTGTGTTGCATTTCATTGTTTTCTTAAGCATTTCCTGATATTTGAGCATATGGATTATTTTCAGATTTTTATTTTTCTAGTTGGACCTGTTTGACAAACTTTTTCTGTGAGTTAAGCTTGGGATTTTTTTCTGAAAGTGAAATTTGAGTCAAATTTTATTTTTATAATACTTTTATTATAAATTTACCAAACTGGTTTTCAGATTTTGTCTATAACCTAGTATAACCATTATAATTACTAACATAAGAGATTTAAGAGTGTATACATAATTATCCTTTAAATTTAGGACTATGTATCAAAATTTTAAGCTGAAAACAGTATCTTTGTGGCTAAGGGCAAGAGAACATGAAGTTTAACTTTTTTTTTTTTTCCAAATATATTTTATTGATTTTCTACAGAGAGGAGGAGAGAGGGATAGAGAGCTAGAAACGTCGATGAGAGAGAAACATCGACCAGCTGCCTTCTGCACACCCCCCACTGGGAATGTGCCCGCAACCAATGTACATGCCCTTGACCGGAATCGAACCCGGTACCCCTTAGTCCACAGACTGACGCTCTACCACTGAGCCAAACCGGCTTCGGCGAAGTTTAACTTTTTCTAACAGATATAAATTACAATATTTTCTTAAAAATTGACTTAGAAATAAATATAGACCTGTTTAAACCTAAATTAAATCAGTCTGCTTACTTTTTGAAATAATACTTACAGTTTAGTTCCTGAGGGAAGATAACCCATTAAGAATAAAGTGGTTAAACACAATGGATGATTTCAATGAAATACATATTTGAATATTTCATAGCACATTATAACTCATGTCAATGTAAGAAATATAAGAATTCATAATGATTCAAATGCTTTTCCCCTCCAGTTTCATTGAGATATAATTGACAAATGCTCTTTTAAAAAAACTTTTGAACTAGATCATAGGAAGTTCTGCACTGTCCACTGCACTGGGTACTTGAGAAGCTGGCCTACAAGTATTATTGGAATGGAAGAAGAGAGGGACAATAAGGAAGACAGCAGTTTCACTTGCCTTGTTGCCATTGGGAGATTATATCCACATACCGTCCCACAGAACAGCGGCGAGGTTAAAGTGAAACCAACTGAATTTATAACCCGTTTTGCAGTGAATGGGAAAATTGTCTATGTGGACCAAAGGTAACATTTATATGCCTTCATGACTAGAGTTCAGTGGGATTTTTAAGGCTATTTAAATGTGGCTTAGGACTGGTGGGACTTTTTCTTTTAAGGCTTCAAAACAGGAAATAAAATTTAAATGAAATAACAATATGGATATTATTAGTAAATTTGATCAAGCTGAAATGTAAACTTGGGATATTTCTTAAGCCAGCGGTACAGAACCTGGGCAAGGGTCTCTGGTTACAATTTTACTGGCAATGGATTGGTTGGGTGTTCTCTGGAGTAGCCTGCCTGGCTGTCCATTCTGTTTTGCAGCTCTGGTCTGGCTTAGTGATGCCCCTGAGTTACTCATCCCCAAGTCCACTTCCCTGCTGTCCTGACCATGTATGGACCTTCAGGATTCTGGAAGGGAATTTGCTCACCAATTCTAAGTTTCTTTTTTATTTTAAAACCAGGGCAACAACAATTTTAGGATATCTGCCTCAGGAACTTCTGGGAACTTCTTGTTATGAGTATTTTCATCAAGATGACCGTAATAATTTGACTAACAAGCACAAAGCAGGTATGCATTGAGTGGGGATAAGGTTTGGGCACTTTTTAATTGCAGCTTCAACTCTTAATTTCTCATTCCTGTGAAATCCAAAACTTGCATTAATCGTCAAAAGTTTGATTTATATAGTGGTAGACAGTTATACTAATTATGATCTTTTCTTAAGTTCTACAGAGTAAAGAGAAAATATTTACAGATTCATACAAATTCAGAGCAAAAGATGGCTCTTTTGTAACTTTAAAAAGCCAGTGGTTTAGTTTCACAAATCCTTGGACCAAAGAACTGGAATATATTGTGTCTGTCAACACTTTAGTTTTGTAAGTAATGTGTTTTTATGTTGGTAAGACCTTTTATTAATTTCAAATGAATATCTTTGCTTCCCTCTTCTCATCTTGCTAACTCATTAAAACTGTCTAACCCTCTGACTTTATATTACTGAGTGTTCAGAAATTACTATAGTTCAGAGATCATAATAATCTGGCTACTCAGTGTATATTGAGTAATTCACTCACCGTCTATTGGCATTAGTTCTCAGGAGAAGCTGAAAGTTTGCCCTTATAAAATACATCCCTTTTTGCATAGAATAAAATATGATAGTGAAATTCTTTATTCAAACCTCTCCTTCCTACCCTCCATGGCTGTGTCTTATCCCATCACTAAGTGATATGGATGTGACTTTAAACTGTATGTCACTGTAAGAGGTTGTTTATTCTCCACATTATTGTGCACGAACTTCTTCTAAGCCTGGGGCACCGCAGGTGGCTGTGCAGAGCCCTTGATGGAGGGATGAGCACTGCTTGCCAAGTCCTGGTCTATGCTGTCAGCCTGAAGGGAGAGCCAGCTTTTCCTCATTTGCACAATATGCTAGCATGGCCCTGTTCTAAGTTTATTCTTTTTCTATACTTTTTTAAAAAAATTGCTACAATGTTTCATCAAACCTATTTCCTTATTTATATTTAGCTTTATTTAAAAGCCGCAAAAGCTCTTCCAGCAGTATCCGTTGCCTTCTTATAACCCTTGCCTTCTTATCATTAATATATGAACTGACAGTTTGTAACTATGACAACATGTACTTTATAGGGTAATAGGGCACTTGGTACTTAGCATATTAGTACCTTGACTTCTGGTGGTAATATTAACAATATGCATGTATGAAAAAATTAAATACAGTTACTCTAACAATTTCCTTAAAAATGGTGGAAAAGCACAATTTTACTGGCAACGAATTGGGTGGGTGTCTCAATCTAAAGAAGATGTCACTGCTGGTGTTTCTAAATTCTAGGGGACACAGCGATACCGGAGGAGCATCGTCACTTCCTTACAGCTCTCAATCGTTGGAAGGTAAGCTTGGTTTTAGATGATGGAAACGTGTTACCCAGACTGTTGTTGTTGCTACCATCTTTTTCTGTCTTGGAGAGGTAAAACTTTCAAGGTGAAGTTGAAAAGACTTTTGTGGGTTCAGTTATCCTCCTCAGAATTCGCACAGTATTTTGGTCACACCTCCGTTACAATCTCAGGCTGTATTGCAGTTCATTGTTCACTCGGCTGGCTGACCACAGACCGAGTTCTCTGAGAGTAGGAATGGTGTTTTATCCATCCTCTGTCCCTGGCAGCTAGCACAGTTCCTTGTTCTTCGTGGCACTCAAAGTATCTGTTGGGCACATTAATAAAAAGCTTGAAGGAGGAGTTTTTCACCACAGGGAATTACATAATGTATTCCTTGCATAAATAAAAATATTAGGAAATATTAAAAATAAACTACTATTGCTCTGCCTTTCGTATCGATATGAAAGTGGGTGGGAACTGTCTGTACTCAAAGGCTACAGGTCAGCAACTCTACACATTTGATTCATTCACACTTTTGAATAAACATCTTAAACCATCATGAATTATGTTGGTAATGCAAGCATGAATGTTTCTAACAGTTTAAGATGCGGCTAGTCTGTTTCTTTTAAAGATAGAAATACTTGAAAGAAATATATCAACCAAAGATATATGCTTTTTTAAAGTTCTCAGTTGAATTTCCCTTTTGCCGTGTAGAGTCCTGTGTCGGTGTGCCTGGACTGTGCACCGGCACGGTGCTTGGTGCCGGCAGTATCGGCACAGATATTGCAAATGAAGCTCTGGACTTACAAAGGTAATGTTTCATCTTTTGCAGATATTACAAATAAAGTTGTTATGTTTATAAAACCAATATTCCAAAATCAATGTTTCCTCTATGCAAATAGTAACCAGTTCAACAATGTAATGGAAGAGAGGATCGCCCTTATGGTAGCAACAAAACAGATAAAAAGGCATTTAGATATAAATTTTATAAGAAGTATCTACAACTTGATGGGAAAAAAAGTTAACATGCAGATGACATGAATAACTTTCCAGATATAAGTTGTTTTTTAATGGGAAGACTCGGTATTGTAAGGAGGTCAGTATTTCCTGAATTAACCTATGAATTCAATGTGAATCCAGTCAAAACGTTTTTTTAAGATCCAACAAATGGTAGTACCTATATTAGAATATCCATCAAAATTCTAAAAAATAAACAAAATTGAGACTAAAATGATCAGATATTATAATCCTATATAATAAAAACCTAATATACAAATTGTCCCTTGAATGGGAGTTGGACCAGGAGTTTGACCACTTGCTATGTCATGTTTGGCCACGCACTATGACATGCGTTGACCACCAGGGGATGGTGCAGAACATGGTTGGCATCAGCAATGTGGCACTGGCAGTGAGCAGCAGTGGAGGTGCTGCCAGCTCCGATGGGCCCCGACAAGAGTGGGACTGTGGTGGGATGGTGGAGCAGGTGAGCAGGTGGCACCAGGCCAAGGCGGGTACAAGTGGGGCCCAATCGCCCCGCCGATCGCTCCACAGATCGTGACCAGTGGCAGCAGTGGGGAGCGGGGTCACTGCCTGGCTCCTAGGTGCTGAGGGAGCCGGGCTGGGGCCCAGTGACTCAGGCGGACAGGGGCATGCGGGGGGCCAGTGGCCGAGGGGCTGCCCAGAGCCCAGAGGTCAGCTGGGACTTGCCCTTCCATGACAGACACTCACACTTCGATTGCCAGGCCTAAGGACCACACCTTGCACAAATTTCATGCACCGAACCTCTAGTATATTATACAGCTATAGTCACGAAAACATTTTTATTAATAAAATAATACATTTCAAGATATAAACTAATGAAAAAATAGGATTATAGTATCTGATCTTTTTAGTCTCAATGAATTTTGGTTTTTTTATTTATTTAGAATTTTGCTGGATATTCTAATATAGTTACTACCATTTGTTGGATTCTAAAAAAAACATTTTGACTGGATTCACATTGAATTCATATGTTAATTCAGAAAAGATTCAAAGACATGGATATTTATTATATGGTAAAAGTGGCATTTTAATCAGTAAGGGGAAATATATTAAACTGTTAAGGGCATTATAATAACTCTAAAACCATTTGGGAAAACAAAGAAAGCCAGACCCATTTTTATTCTTTATACTAATATGAATTCCAAATAAATCAGAGTTTAAAGTAAACCAATAAAGTATTTTTAAACACAGGTCTAAATTTTATAATCTTAGTTTGGATCATTGTACATCCAGAATTCATGAAGAAAAAATATGACAAATTATATAAAAACTCAAAACTTAGGCACAACTATAACTTTTAACAAAGTTGAAAGATAAGTTATAAACTGTACATAATGGACTACTAATCATTTTAATATATGAAGAGTTTAAGTATAAAATTGTTAAACTGTATATTTTATATAACTATAATAACCTTAATCTGTATTAAACTTTGAATGTTTGATAATCAATATTGGTGAGAGTGTGAGAAAACAGTCGTTCTTAAACTGTCTGCGGGGATATGTTAGTCCAGCTGCTGTGGAAGGCAACTTAACTACACCTCTGCAAAATGTAAGTGTATGTAATCCTAGGCTCAGCAGTTCTGTGTGGGAGCAAATAGCCTTATACAACCTTGCAAAGATCTGTGAACAAGACTATTCATTGCTGTGTTGTTTTTTTACAGTAGTGTTTTAAATATTTAAATATTTGTCATAACCATAACTTGTTATGGCATATTCATACAATGGAGTACTCCGCAACTGTTAAAAATCAGATAGCTCTATATACGCTAATATGGAAAGTTGTTTAAAATGTATGGTTAATAGAAAAAAAGAACAAGAACAGAACAAAAGGGTAGTGTGTATAATAACCCATGTATATAAGGCAAAAGAAAGGTGTGTATAAAGGCCCGTGATTGCCCATCTAAAACTCTAGAGGCAGTATAGGTTTTGAACTTGGAATTTTAGATTTTAGAAAAATAGTGTCTTGGAAATCAGTTTTGAAAGAGTTACGTGTAATACCTCCAGAGAATATCATGGGCAGCACCCCATAATCAATTAAATCATTATTTCTGCAATGAAGAATTTATAAATAAAACTAGAGGCCCAGTGCATGAAATTTGTGCACAGGGGTGTGTGTCCCTCAGCCCAGCCTGAACCTTCTCCAATCTGGGACCCCTCAAGGGATGTCTGAACTGCACGTTTGGGCCCGATCCCGGTAGGATTGGGCCTAAATGGGCAGTCAGACACCCCTCTCACAATCCAGGACTGCTGGATCCCAACTGCTTGCTTGTCTGCCTTCCTGATTGCCCCTAACCACTTCTGCCTTCCAGTCTGATCACCCCCTAACCACTCTGCTGCCAGCCTGATTGCCCCTAACTGCCCTCCCCTGCAGGCTTGATCACCCCCAAATGCCTTCCCTTGAAGGCCTGGTCCCTACCAACTGCCCTCCCCTGATGGTCATCTTTATTGGCCATCTTGTGTCCACATGGGGGAAGCCATCTTGTGTGTTGGAGTGATCAATTTGCATATTACTCTTTTATTAGATGGATGGTCAGGGAGGACAGGGGAGATTAGATATTGGAGTATATTCATTAAACAAGATTGGGAAAGAATCATGATTGAAATTGTTTGGTGGGTATATGAGATTTTATTATATTACCTACTTTTATATCTGAAGTTTTCCATAATAAACTTAAAAATACTTTATGGAGTGAGGTTTTGTAAATACATGTAGTATTTACAGAGTTGGATAAAAAAGAAAATAGCTTCATACTAATCAGGTCAGATTTTGCTGAGTTTAGATCAATTCAGATTTTGCTGCTAAATGAATTATGGAAAACATTTCTGGTTTCCAGGTATTTAAAATTTTGAAATTATAGAGAAGGAACTTATAACTGGATGATGTATAACAATATAAGTAATTTGTTCAGACAATTCAGAATTTCTTACCTCCCATAATGGGCCATGGTTTTATGAGATGGGAAAAGTAGAAGAGAGAAATTTTTGTTTTATCTTCTTTTTGTATAGTTTGTATTTTAAATTTTTTAAATTAAAAGTAGTTTAAGTTGAAAAAAAATTACTGGTAAGATATTTGTCACGTCTTGATGGATACCTGGGTACTTCCACCTTGTGGCTACTGTGAGTAATGATGCTGTGAAGGTGGCTGTACAAATGTAAGTTCTAGTCCTTGCTTTCATTTCTTTGGGGTATACCTAGAAGCAGAATTGCTAGATCATTTGGTAATTCTATTTAGCTTTTTGAGGAACTGCTATTATGTTTTCCATAGCATTTTACATTCTCCACCAACTGCACAAGGGTTCCAATTTCTCAACAATGCTTGTTATTTTCTGTTGTGTGTTTTTTATGATAGTCATCCAAACTGGTGTGAAGTGGTTTTGTATGTCCAGAGCTTTTGTGAGATCTGTCCCTATGATTAGTGATGTTTTGAATCTTTTCATATGCTTATCTGCCATTTGTATATATTTTTGGAGAAATATCAATTTAGGTCCCTTGCCCATTTTTCAATTGTGTTATTTTTGTGTGTGTTATTATTGAGTTGTAGGAGTTCTTTATTCTGGATATTAGCCACTTAGCAGATGTGATTTTTAAATATTTTCCTCCAGTCTCTGAGGTGCCTTTTCAGTCTCGTTGATAGTGAAGTTTTCAATTTTGAAAAATTTCTACTATATCTCTTCTTTTATAATGTGTGCTTTTGGTATCATATCCAATAAATTTTTGCCAAATCCAATGTCATGAAGCCTCTTCTCTATGCTGTTTTCTGACAGTTTTATAGTTCTAGGTCTTACCTTTGGGTCTTTGATCCATTTTGAGTTAATTTTGGTCTTTGATGTAAAGAAATAGCACAACTTCCTTCTTCAGCATGTGGATATCCGAGTTTTCCCAGTACCATTTGTCAAAAAGTCTGCTTTCTTCCACTGAATGAAACTAGAACCCTTGTTGAAAATCATTTTATCATATATACTAGAAGGGCTTTAAAAAAATTTTTTTTGCAGAGAGGGAGGAAGAAGGAGAGGGAGAGGGAGGAGGAGGGGGGGAGAGAGAGAGCGAGAGAGAGATCATGAGAGAGAATTATTGATTGGCTGCCTCCTGCATACCCCCTACTGGGGATTGAGCCCACAACCTGGGCATGTGCCCTTGACCAGAATCGAACCTGGGACCCTTCAGTCTGCAGGCTGATGTTCTATCCACTGAGCCAAACCAGCTAAGGCTGGATGGGCATTTTAAGAGGAGTGGAAATTAAGCCAAACATTGACAGTTGGGTACCATTAGAGTGGCCAGGTCTCAGTGGGGAAGGCATTTATGTATGGAGGCACCTCAGCCATTGTGTAGAGGTAGGTGGGAGAAAGCATGGTTTCAGGGAACTATTAGGAGACTCCATTGAGAGAGAGAGGAATTGGGTTGCTTAGATCAATGGGGAGTGTAAGGTGAAGCCAGGCAGGGAGGGACTTCAGTAGCAGATTTCTACCCAGGGGGCTAACTTGAAGAAAGCCATGCTTCGGAAGATTAATCTGGTCTAGGGGGAGGGGTAGCCAAAGCCAAGGGAGCAGGTGGTGATTGAAAGCCATGAGCCACAGAATGGGAAGCCAGCTCTTTACATTGACTGTCCTGTGAAAAATCCCCAAGACAGGCCACTGCCTTTTCTTCTGTTTTTAGACCCATTTCATTCCATTTCTGCATTAATTTCTCCCTCTGTAGTTTCTTGTCAGCTGCCATTTTGGGGACACATGAAGTTATGTTTATGCTATTATGTGTTTCACATAGTTGAGCATTTAATAGTATATTATATGTTAACTGTCAGTTTTACACATGTAAGTCTCATTGAAGGGATTATCCACATGTATGATTACATTTTTGTCATGTGTCTATCATCCCTGAGGATGACCTATTACAGTAAAAATATCACACATTTTCTACTTAAAGGTTGCAAAATGTTAAGATATTCTTCTTTATTTTCAATTCTGCTGCTTGGTTATCTTGATAAGGAGCTGAGTTTTTATGTGAATGCCTGTTTTAAACTAAGTGTGTTGTGTTATTCTATTACTTTGTGACATGCCATATTAAGATAAGTAACATGATTTACTTATAGGCTTTTTACCTCAGCGTTTTATGTTTCTATTTACTGTGGAGTGTTTTCAGCTCTCCGTAGTCAAAAACAAATCTGGCACCCAAACAAGTTGGTCTGTTATGAAAACTGTCATGATATTCCGTCTCATGCTCCTTCACTGTATATTTTTATCAGATTGTGATATATCCAGAGGAGAATATTTCCTTCTAAGAATACATAAGTACAGAAAATGTTTTATGTATCACTTTTTAAAGGTTACAGTTTTCTTCATCCTTTGGTGACTCAAGTCCAACAGATTCAGTGAAAGATACTCAACCTATAAACTGCAGGAATGTAAGTACAAACGTAAAGTGATAATATTCATGAAATAAGTGATCAGTAAAGTTTGCTTTTTGTTGATTATTTCTCCTGAAAAAGGAAGCCTTCTTAAAAAATTAATGAACCCTTTTCTAGCTAGTCTGTGGTTTAATAGGCCACGTAGAATAGTGGTTAAGAGTGAAGTTGCTGGAACCATATGATTTGGGTCCAAAGCTGTGACTCAGACACTTAACTGCTGCGTAACCCCAGGGCGGTTTTTTAAACTTAGTGCCTTGATTTTCTCTTTTGTAAAACTGGGATAATAATGGCACCAATTTCTTGGGATGGTGTATGAATTAAGTGATTAAATATGAAAACAAGCAAAAGCTTAACCGTGTCTGATACACAGCATGTGCTCAATAGTTGTTCTTACTGCTGTTTTTCCAATTCAGCAGATTAAGTGGACACCTTTTGGTCTGTAACAAAGTTTAATAAAAGCTACAAGATAAGAATAACATGCTATTTAATTCAATTCCATAAATACTAGCTATTTGAAGTGCATTGCTGCATATGCAAAAGTGACTAAACAAATTGCTAATATCTGGAAAACTCACATAGAGCATAATTCTAACGTAACTTCAACAATAAAAGGCTAACAAAGTGGTATACAAATATAATAGAAAAGAGAAATTAAATCTGACCAAGGGCAAAAGGGAACTTGCAAATGAATTTTTACATAAAATATTATGTCTTTTGGGCTAGTATTTTTTAATTTTATAAGTTTAAACAAATGTTTATTGGTTACCCATTTTGTGCCAGAAACAGAGGTTAAGTCATTGTAACAAAAACCAAGTAGTGTACATTACATATAGGCGTTCTGTAGATATAAAGTACCTCAACTTAAGACAATATAGGTAAACTAGAAGGCTCAATGCATGAAAATTCATGCAAGATTAGATCTTCCTTCCCCTGGCTGCTGGCACCAGCTCCCTCTGGCACCCGGGACCCAGGCTGCTTCCCTCCTCTGGCCCCAGCTTTGTCAGGAAGGACATCCAGAAGATGTCTGGTCTAATTAGCATATTACCCTTTTATTATTATTATAGATGACTTTCTATTTTGATACACTACCTTTACATTAGATTGTCTGGCCTGTAACTCTATGACAGAATGATAACTTTCTGGTCAAAACCCCTAGTTTAATCCATTGTCCACTCCAAAGCACTATTTCCCTTTGTGGTATCCTATGGGATAGAGTTTTGTCGTCATTTTTTAAAAACAAATAACTGACTCAGAGCACTGTGGTCAAGAACTTTCCCATCTCAGACTTTTCTTGTAGTATAGACACTCAGTTATGGTTATGAGTGGGGATTGAGCCCACAACCTGGGCATGTGCTCAGGTTTTGGAGTCAGGAAGACGAGGTAGAATTATGTATGGCTCTAACACTCTGGTCACGAGTATTAGCTGCTTTAGGCCTCAGATTCCTGACCTGTAAAACAGCTCCCTCACAACATTTTTTAAGTGAAATGGAGGATGCCTGTGGGGTGCTTAGGCACAGAGTCCTCAGTCCGTGCAGCCCGCCAGGGGCCGCGCTGCCAGAGGCCCCGGTCTGATAACGCCAAAGAGCTTCAGTCACGTAGGAACCTTACTACTTACTGTCCTATCTTTCCAGGTGTCAAACAAGGAGTCATATCCACTAAATCCGTACGAAATGTGGGAGCTAGAAGCCACAAGGCAAAACCACAGCCCTGTTGCTCCCCCCAGTCACGAGCCACTCCTAGGTAAGTTTTCTTTGGCATCTGCCCGCCATTTTGTTTTCCAAAAAACTCCTCCATAATCACTATATTTTCAGGCATAGGAGATTTCTAGAGAAGCAAACAAGGTCAAAATGAAGATTTGCCCATTCAAAATCCTGAACACAGTAACCATACCCTGGATTTTAAAATGTATGTTACTTTAATGGACCTGTCATAGAATATTCAGTTATCAATGGAATTCAGGGTATTGTTCCTACCTACAGTGTAAATAAAACTAAGGTATTTCTATCCAGGACAAAGTGTCCACTCTCAGGAATTTTTAAAGGGTACCAATGGTAAAAAGTTTAAGATGCAATTATTTATTCCATGTTTATACAAAGTTCACATCAAGTAAATTCAAGTGACACTGTTTCATACTCCCCATAACTGACATTAATCTGAAATTTTATGTTAGTGGAAATTGAAGAACTTAAACAATCTGGGTATTAACTGTGCACAGATGACTTATTAATCACCTTAAATTCTATTGGACTTCTAAAAAACTGGCTAACCTGTAGCTGTGCTTTAACCCTTAATTTCTAGAACCTCATACTTATGTCTAACTTAAAGCTCATTTCCATGGTAACTCCTAAGGTCCTTTTTTCAATAAAAAATCTGGTTACTCCCCTTTTGTAAGAATACTAGAGACCCGGTGTACAAAAATTCATGCACTCAGGGGGCGGGTCCCCAGGGGATCAGGCCTATGTTGGCAATTAGACATCCCTCTGGCAGCTCAGGAGCCCTCGGGGGATGTTCGACTAACAGTTTAGGCCCGTGTCCTGCAATCAGACATCCTTAGTGCTACCCAGCTTGTGGCTGAGCGGAGCTCCCCCTGTGGGAGCGCTCTGACCATCAGGGAGCAGTCCTGTGTTGAGTGTCTGCCCCTGGTGGTTAGTGCACATCATAGTGACTCGCCGTTCCCAGTAGTTCTGCCTTTAGGGTCAGTTTGCATATTATCCTTTTATTATATAGGATTAAGACTTTTTATTCCCCATTTGCCTCAGCCTTCTCATTTTTGGGGTTAAACAAGGTTTGTTTGTTTTTTTTTTTTCTTCCACAAAGCAGGTTAAAGTTAAATTTCTCTTTTGCACACAAGCACATGCACATGCATCGCTGTGCAAGCAGACCTCAGCCTCTAGATTCCAGTTGTCTGGGAGTCTGTACCTACTCAGGCTCTTATTTTCTATTAAAAACCTCATACACTAGCTCACTTACGTGTATCAAGTGAATTAAGTGCTGCAATTGACCTGACATCAAAATAGTGACCCGTCAACAAATTTATCTGGCTTTTGCAATTTAAGACCTATGGTCTGCCCTCAAAAGATGCAGTGTATGGCATTCTAGCCGTGCTTTGCCTTTTTGATACTAATCATTTTTAACCTTCCAATGTACTTACATGGGCCTGTATTTTTATTCTATAGGCGGTGGTGCCCAGTTGGATTTTGATGCCCTGTGTGGCAATGACGACACAGCCATAGCTGCCTTCATGAATTACTTAGAAGTAGAGGGGGGCCTGGGAGACCCCGAAGGCTTCAGCGACATCCCCTGGACCCTGTAGCATTTGACTTTTAACTCCAAAAATGAGGAATGTTTTACAGTATTTCCTTTACAAAGAACTGTATGTTCCTCTGTACTGTATTGATACTCTTTTTATCCTTTATTCTTATGAAGGTTCTACCAATTTTTATAGATTTGCACCCACTTTCACAGGGGTCTGGGGAAATGTGATGTTTTTCTTCAAATAGAACTGCTCAGAATTTTCTACAGACCCCTTTACTCAGCGAACTGGTTTTAAACTCACTAGCTGCTATTTTTTGCTAAACTATTTCTGACCAAGAGTATCAATTATACATCTTGCTTTGGTTTTGTTTTTATTTATTTTTTATGAAGTTTTTTTGAATTTGAGAAATTTAATATGTTGACAATTTTTTTTGGTCTCAAGATTCATTTAATTGACTTATAATAGTAGATTTGTGTGATTTGGAACATTTCCATTTCTTGTATATTTTCTTAATCGAGGACAGGGCTTATGTCTTTTTTAAGAAAACAGTGAGTACTTGAACACTTAAAGGGACAATGCAATTTATAGTCATGATCACAGTGACTTCTATGTTCAGTCTTTCAGACTTGGGCAAGCACAGAGCCAGGATATATTTATGCCCAGTTGAGCACTTTTAGGTGGAGGTTAAATGAGATGACTTTTATTTAAAACTCAGAAAAACAAAAGTTTGCTTACAGAACAGGAAAGGTTCTGGGCCATAGATGTTGGTGATTAATTTTTGTATGTTTAATCTTAATGTAACCACTCAAGATATACAGATAGAACAGGTTTTCTATGTTGAAATGGTATGTAGTAACCGATTATCTTAGAGGAAGAAACAGTCCCAGGCAGATTAAATGTTTTGTGTAAAGACAATTAAATTCATATGTTTTTTAATGTGTACTGTGTATAAACCAGTTTCTTTTTACATACTTGGAAAAGCAGTGAGCTCACTGGTTAAATGATTAATTAACTGATCCAAGAACTAGTCTTGGCTTTAAAGATGATTAAGCTGTTAGAGTTACTATTGCATATAACCAAAGGCAGTTATATACATGGCAACTACCTGAAAAATATGAGGCAATGTGAAAGAATTTAAAAACCAATTTTCTAGCTGTAATTAAAAATTTGGAGAGCATTAATCCAGAGGTAGCTCAAATTGAGTGCAAGGGTTAAGAATATTTAAAGCACTTTCGGTATATCTCCCATTTTGAAGGTCATATTTCCTTAACACCTTACATTTTAAGACTTCTTTCTGGTTCTAGTTTACCAAGTAAGTTCCCATAGTCTCTCTGCCCCACACATGAAAATAAGGGGCTGGGAACCTGGTGGGGAAACCCTAAGGCTCAGGTGTGGGATTCAAATCCAGTTCTCTTTCTCTAGATGGTTCTATGCCTTCCCAGCTGACTGCCCTGAGCCTCTCACCATAACAAAGCATCATTTGATATAGCTCATTTCTTTAGGCTGTGAGTACTAGATTGAACTTTTGTCAGGTGTGGTAATGGCTAACATACCGACAGGCATTAACCAAGAGCATATGTTCCCTTCAAGCGTGGTGACTGCAGTGGCTCAGTGGCCAAAGGTACATGATCCTCCAGAGCTGACCCAATGCTGCAGACGTGTTAGAGGGTTGGCACCACTCCTGGACTTGAGACAGCCAGGTTTAGAATAAGCCCAAGAAACCCTAAGAGATGGGGGGAGATTGGTTTGAAGCAGCCTTCGCATGAACGATCACATCTGTTCTCTTTGAGTCGTGCAGATGGACCTGCCTCACAAACATAACATGTGAGCGGTCTGGACCAGGGCAGGTTAGCCTTGGCCTGCAGAGTGGGCCTAAGCCAGGGGTTACAGGTAGGTCGTTGTGGCTGGATGGCCTCAAAAGCAGATGGGACAAACCATGATGGAAAGAGTTGAGAGGCAGAGTTTCCAGAGACAAGCTACTGCAAGAGGACTTACTCCATAGACCAGTTGGCAGATGGCCAGTTGGAGGCTTTGATCCTTTATAACCCACTCTAACGTTTTTCTGTAGATCTTCTTGCCCTGGACCCAGAATCCAATCCACGTGTATGATACTATATAGCTCTCTCAAGTTTAGTGTTGTTGTTTTTTCCCAAAACCCATTGTGTTTGCATTTGATTGCTATTGCAATTGGCAGATGTTCATATGTCTTAATATTACTTTGTGTCCTACCAATTTCTTGAATCTTGGATGAAAATCTCTATATATTGGATGAAAGCAATGGAATTTTGTGTGTGTGTGTGTGTGTGTATGTGTGTGTGTGTGTATGTGTGTGTGTATTTCCCTTCCTCCCTCCCAAGAATTACAGTGAAGAAGTGGGTGGAAGAGTGCCTAGAGTCGAAAGAGCCCACTCAGCCTGTATTTAGCTGTGTGACTGCAGGTAAGCCATTTAAACTCTCTGTGTCTCAGTGTCCTCATTTGTGACAAGAGATTTGATCTCCCAAGTTTACTTCCAGTTCTGATTCTGAGATTCTAATCCATAGGACTTGAGCATTAGGGTTTAGAACTATGTGGTCCCATTGATAGGCACCAGCTGTATGTGGCTACTGAGCACTTTAAATGTAGATTTCAGTTGAAATGGGCTGTGAATGTAAATTTCATAGCATACTTCAAACAGTATAAAAAGAAATATAAAATATATTAACAGTTTTATATGGATTCCATGTTCAAATCTTATTTTGGATATACTGAATTTAATGGAACAATAAATTTTTACTGTTGACTTCCCTAATGTGGCTATTAGAAAATTTTAAATTGCACATGTGCCATACATTATATTTCTATTGGATGGCTCTGCTCTAGAACATATTATTAAGTGAATATTACTAAAGTAGACCAAAGGTTATACCATGAATATGATATTTACCTCTAAATGCTGTGGTTTAAAAGAACAATTGTGTATTTATCTTTGATTTAGTACAAATAACTGAACCTCTATCCATGTGTCAAGTTTAAAACTTTTAAAAAATTGGTAAACTTGAAAATTTGATCACATATTTTATTACAGGATGATAGCCTGAAATCAAATAAAACAAAACTTGAGGTATAAATTGACACTATATGGTAGTAATTAAATTTGGAAATCCATTGAGAAATCAAAAAACAAAACAGTACAGACCAGAGACTTCTGGTGAACAAATGGGATTAAAGTATTTCATTGCAGTGTTACCATGGGAAAAGGCTATTTATGAGTCATGTTCTTTGAGGAGTCTCTGTAGAGTCAGGGGCACAGGGAAATGAAATAGCCACTATCTAGCTGTTGGACCATGTTTGGTGGAGCCATTTCAGATCCCGCTCCAAAGGGGTCTGAGCCACTCAAGCAGGTTATTTGGGGGCTCTAGAACTGGAGATTCAGATTTGCCAAGCAGAGTATTATGGGCAGAGCAAGGCTGACAGCTAGGCTAACCAGAAGCCATAAAGAAAACCTGCTAAGTGGCCACTAGGTGTCACTTTTCCATTTCTAGAGTGCTTTGTTTTCATCAGGTTAATTTTCCCAAGTACCATGGGGCTTAGGAGAAGCACTTACTATGTCTTTTGTGTGTAGAATACGTTTGCCTCTCTGGTATGAGTTATTTCATAACAAATGCTTTTTAAGAGAAGATTTTTCCTACATAAGATAAGGAGCTTTCCAGATGTGGCCCTAGTAAAACGCTGGCCTTGGAAAACTCATCCAACCTAGAATATGCCTTGTGAACTCATTTGAGAGTGTATGGATGTGTGCTACTGCTCATACATCCTTGAGCGTAGGTTTGTCTTTTATACCGTTTTTAGTTTTTTTCCAGTTCACTCGTGCGTCTCTGTATATTGGTATTTTTAAAATTTTGTAGTAAACAATGAAAAGAGTGAAATTATATTTTATAACAGTTACTAGTTTGGATTTTTTAATTTGATGTTTTAAAGTTCCTCCAAAATATCGTATCCCTTCACTGCCTTTATAAAGTGGAAACAGACTCCAGTGTTCTCAACCCACTGGGCAGAGAGGTACGTTGAACTACATCGCTTATACAACTGTGGGTGTGTTCACCGGGACATGCTAACTGCTGAACAGCTCTAAAATATCAGTGGCCTCCCCAGGAACCCTTTCTGCTCACACCTCAGTCCAGTGTAACCAGTGCTATCTCTCTCCCTCCTCCTCACTGCCTGCCTCTTCCTGTTTCCATCTCTCAGCTTTGCTTTCTCCTGAACTGCTTTTATCCTCCGATGGACCTTCTTCCCTATACTGACATTCAGAAGTTCCTAGCACATACTTGCTCTTATACCTAGCAGTCTCAATGCAAAGAGCTTTTTCATCTCCTAATAATTCACATAAAGATGTACATTGATTGGGCCTCTGGATTAACTTGGGTCACGTGGACTGTCTTGTGTGGTCAGCAGGATAGAAAGTACAGATTGGCCAGGCTTTGGTCACATGCCCACACCTGGATTTAAGGGCATCCTCAAAAGGGAAAGCATGAAAAATAGTCAATTCCCAGAAAGCCTAGGGCCAGAGAAAGGCATGTGATAGAAACATGCAATTCGTCATAGTTAATGATTTCCTAGGATTTAGGTATGTGAGTCTCTAGTCTTTGTTTTTGATTGTTTTATATGGAGGTGGAGAGAGTAGCAAGTTATATCACACGTTTTAACTCCAGGCACCTTTTCTGAGTAATATCTAGCCAGGAGTCACTTTGAAGAACTCTCCTTTGCTTGAGGGAAGTATGCGTAGAGACAATCAGTAAGGAGTTGTCTTAAATCTTGTCTAGCTATGTGTTTCTGGCATTTGATTTATAGTTCTCTGGAAAATGTTACTTTATTTTACATCTTGTGGAATTTGGTCTCCATGAATTGTTTATATTTTAATAGAAAACAAGAATATTTTTAAACTATCACCACATCTTCAAAGTAGGAGTGGAAATTTCAAGAGCGGAGAAAGGAAATTCTACAACACTGTCCTATTTTCTGTGATTATTGTAAACCAAAATGATTAAAAATGAATGAATGACTAAACAAGGGGTGATGCCATTGTTGACGGATATCTGATAGTACGTTATACAAATGGGGAACTTGGCCACTCAGGCCCACATCGTAGAGCTGGACTCTTATTTTAACTCTAGATTTTAATGTGTTTATATAGGCACAGTTTTGGTGAGCATTTGTTAAGTGGGCCATTTTCAGCAGATCATCCTATATAATAAAGATGTAATATGCAATGGTGGTTACACCATGAAACATAACAACTGACAGCATATCATGATCAGCAGGAGGGTGGGGTAGTGAGCTACAAGGGAGTTAGGGGGTGAATAACTACAGGAGGGGACAGGGTAGCAAGCTGTGAGGAGGGGGGGTGGAGGAAGTGGAGGGAGATACAAGAGGGTGGGGCAGTGGGCCAAGAGCTGCTGGAGGGCAGCAGCGAGCTACTGGCGCGTGGATTCATGCGCAGGGCTACTAGTAGGAAATCAAGTCATTAAATATCAAAGCACCAGTTGTTGGGAACATGCAAGGTTGCAAAACAGCATAAGGCTTGATGTTTTTCCTTCTAAGATGTGTGGTCACAGGAATACCTGTTAGAAGAACCAAATCCAGCTTCTCTCTAACAGAGTAACAGACTATATAGTGCTGACACAGAGCTGATTTCTTAAGTGTATCTTAACCTGGAAACAGAACTCGTCAAAATAAATGTGCGAATGCACAGTGGCTCTCCATGTGTGATCCCAGGAAATGTAGCATCACTTACAGGAGCTTGTCAGAAATGCTGATCCTTGGCCTCGCCCAGGGTCTGTTGATTTAGAGACACTGGGGTGGGCCCAGCAGTCTGAAGCTCACCAAGTCCTCCCGGGGATTCTGATACACCCTAAGGTGTGAGGCTGTTGCTCTGGTTCTCGTCTGTTGTGAATCTGGCCTCTCTT